TTAATTCAGAGAAGGACATTTTGGAGTGCAAATCTATATGCAAAATGGGGAGAGATGTATCTTCCAGCAGATCTAGACACCCCTTAGTGATAGTGGCTTTAACACAGCTTAAAAAGCCCCTCACTCAACATGCTGGAGACTGCAGCTGCCACAGGAGGTGGGGAACAGCAGGCTTTGCACACAGTTATGGGCAGGAGGCATCACTGACAGGCACTGAAAGCTCTGGCCAGGATTGCTCCCTCCAACAACCATAACATTGGGCACCACAAGAAAAACTGGGCTGGAGCAGCCTCTAGAGCCGAGGCAGCAAATGAGATTTTGGTGCCCTGTTCTGGGGGCTGGAGGTGCCATGAGTGGCAAGTGCTGTTCACAGGCAAGTTTAGAACGCTTTTCCCTGGCCAGGGGACCTGTCCACTGTCCTTTTGCCTGTCCCCTCACCTGTCCAGGGGACCTGTCCACTGTCCTTTTGCCTGTCCACTCACCTGTCCAGGCTCTAGCCATGCTTTCCCCACACTCACCTGTCCAGAAGTGAAGGCAGGCAGCCCAGCTGAGAGGTGGCACAGCTCCTGCAGAAGGTGACAGGGACGTGCCAGCCCCTGGAGAAGATGGGCAGTGCAGGGAAGAGATGCCCAGCCTGGAGGAGATGGAGAGGTGGCAGTGCCAGAGGATGGGTTCTGTCCCCTGGCTGGTGCACAGAGCACTGCTCTGCACCCCTCTGGAGACAGCCCTATTTGAACTGGCTGCAGGGTGGGGTGGCAAGTGTAAACACCCTGGGATGCAGGGCATAGACACCATTAGGTAACAGCACAGTTCAGAAAGTGCAGTTCCCCAGAATTTGTTTGTGGAGGCCAGTCAAATATTGTTTAGGCAGAGTTTGGAGGTGATTTCCATTGAGTGGTTTAATTGGTGTTGCTGAAGAAAGTTTCCAGCATCCCATTTCAGTGGTGGTTTTATTTATTTGTTACAAGAGACATAATTAGGTAATTGATTTCCCGTAGCTGTGGTGTAGAAATGATGATGCTTCTTGTTATACAAAGGTGCCACATGTGAGATGGAGATTAAATCCCAGGCAACAGACTGAAAATATCTGTACTGGGTCAGGCTGGGATGGAGTTCCCTTTGCTCACAGCACAGGGATGGGACCCAGCCCAGTTGCCATAGCAACACTCCATACCTTGTCTATCCCGACCCAGTTTTCCACTTTTGCTCTTCCAGTTGCCTCCACCTGCCCCACTTTGGGCTGGGGGATGGAGCTGTGCCAGCCCACCACAACATCCCTGTTCCTCACACCCTTGCAGGGAGGTATGAGGAGCACCTGAGTGCCTTGTCCTGCCAACAGGGAGAGTTCTCCCTCTCCATGCCCCGTGCCAGGGCTGAGGCTGCCTCCTGCCCTTCTTTCCTAGATTGTTTTGCTGTGGGAATCACGGTGAAAGGTCACTAGGGAAAGGTGTCCTCTGTCTATCAGCCTGGAATGGGCCTGGGAGGTGTCCAACCAGGTTTGTCAGTTTGTCCCACTTCTATAAACACACACTAGAACAGGAGTTTGTAATTTACAGGTTTGGAGGGGAAGGGTGACTTTGGTTTTGGGGTACTGAAGCTGAGTAAGGCACCTCTGGCTTTCACCTCCTGAGGTAATAGAACATGGAAATCTACACTCCAGGGAAAGGGCAGAGCAGCTCTGGCCACACTCATCTGGAGGCACTGGAAGGGGCAAGACAAAGGCTGCACCCCAGAGTCCTGCAGCACATGGAGAGCAGGACATTGCCATGGGTCTTATAAGATGCTCCAGCCTCCTGAGGGTCATGGGCAGCTCCTGCTGAAGCACCACCACTGCAGAGACTGGAGGGGATTGATGGCTCAGATTTTAACTTTTGTATTTTTCACATTCTGTGCTGCTTTAGTGTGCAGTTCTGAGCTTCACATTGAGGGATGGTGAGATCTCTGCACAGAGCAGGAGGGAGACAAAACAATTCCTGCTCCAGCTGGGGACCAAGGACAAATGATCCAAATCTCAGGCCCAGGAGCACAAACACCGTGGGCTGGAGAGAGAAAAACAAGCAGGGTGGGACTGCATGGGCTAAAGCTGGAATGGGACAATGAACTCCAATTTGCAAATGGAGCAGAACTGATCACAGTGACAGACCCCATGCCCAGGTGTCCATTTTGTGCCCATTTTGGTTCACCTTGGGTGCAGCCCTGGCTGGGCTCTTGTGCTGCCCAAGGTGGATCCATTGAGGAGATCCTTTTAATAAATCCCTGCTTTATTCTGGAACTCTGTCTGGCCTCTGTTCTAGCCCAGCCTTCTCAAGGCATAAGGACCAAGGGGAGTCCCTTGAACTTCACTGCATGGCCAGACCCAGCAAACTCAGCTCCATCCCCTTCCTGCTGCAGGTCACTGACAGCTCCTCAGCCTCTGTGGAGGTCACCATCCTCACACCCCTCTCACCAGGCACCCCACACTGGACACAGCACCCAGATGTCACCTCCCCTGGCAGGGCTGACACCAGCCAGGCGCCCCTTGCCCTCTCCTGTGGCCCAGGCTGGGGCTCTCCATCCTTGCAGGGAGGGCACACTGCTGGCTCGTGCCCAGGGTGGTGCCTGCCACCCTGCCCAGGTCCTTTCCAGTAAGGCTGTTGTGCCACAGCTCCTAATCTGTGTCCTCATCCAGGGCCACCTGCCACCAGCACATACCTCAGGTGGGTGTTTAGCCCGAAAGCTGGAACGTGTCGCACATCCCAGGGTTCTCACCCAGCTCCTGCAGCCCTCTCTTGCACCACTCCTGCTTCCCTTGCTGCCAGTCCCACCTGCTCATCAGCTGAGCACTGAGCTTTTTCCATGGCAGTGGAAACTTCAGCACTACCCATCATGCTCGAGTCTCACAGGTTGGATGCTCAGTTATACAATATTTTTTTATTTTTCTTTAAAAAAGTGCCAAACTGAGCACATGTCCTTCTCCATGACAGCCTCACAACACATAGGGAGGGGAGACAGGGGCTCCCACCTCTCTCCAGGAAGAGCCTATTAAACAACACTGTCTCCCTGATTTTTAAAGATTTTTTTAAGCCTTCTGATGTTTACATTTTTGTAATGAACTTTCTCACACACTATATGTAAATAACCTATTATTTTGCATTCTTTTATGGAAGAGAAAAAATTCAATAAACTGTTGGTTTGTCCAGTGTCATTGGAGAGGTGGCGCTTTCACCCTCCAATCCACTGTCACTTTTAGAAATCTATAAATGTTAGAGTCAGCAATAAAAAAGTCTCCTTTACCTTTGTGAAAAATGCATGTATTTTGTGATTGGCTTTTCGCAAATATTAAAATTAATATTATATGTGTTGTGTTAGAAAGTAATGCTGCATTAATTCTCTTAAGTACTGTGTTAAATATAGTTTTAGGTTACTAAAAAATGTTAAAATAGAAACAATGCTATGTAGGATACTTTTTTAAAGAAAGGACTCACAACGAGATAGCAGCCACAGGACACCTGAATCTTTCAGAGAAAAAGAATTTATTGCTCCAATATCAGGAGAAACGAACTTCTTCCCGCCTCGAAGGTGCTGTCAGGATTCAGAGGAAGAAGCTGACACTGCCCAGACAGAATCCTGTGTTTGAATGGAATTTATGCATCATGGATGAGGTGTATGAATATGCAACAGGCTGTTGCTTTTAAGGGTTAATCCTCTGTTAACGTGGGTCCTTTTCCGGGCTTATTTTGCCCAGAAAAAGGTACCCGGACGTCCGTAACTCTTTGTTTATATTGTCTCATATTATCCTAATTCAAATTGTCCAAATTATTATGACTCTTATTGTATTACTATTTTTATAACCATTTTATTACTATCAAATTTTAAAAAATTTTCAAAACAAGTGACTGGCGTTTTTCAACACCTTGAAAAGAGCAGCGTGTCCGCTGTGTCGTGTCACAACACCTGCCCTGAGGTCAGCTCGGAGCTCCCTTTGGAGAGGAGCATCACCAGCCCCTGCCCGCGCCTCGGGCACACGCAGCCCTGCAGCGCTTCACCCTCTCTGCTTATCTGATAAACGCCTCTGCCAAAAGTGTCGCCTGCTGGTGTCCCCCATACCACAGCGATCCTATCACAAGTTTTCTGGAACATCTCCTCCCACCCACGCAGCTGGGGAAGGGGAGCGACCTGGATCCTCCCCAGAGCTGCCCACTCTCGGGGCTCTGGGGACGGGAGCTTGTTTTCCTGCGGCAGGCACTGCACGCAGTGTCACCACCCCCAGCACTGTTTGCTCCGGGCACAGCACCCCGCTTTCCTCACAGCCAGGTGTTGGGGGCGATCCAGCAGCACCTTCTGGAAGATGTCACCCCCTCCCAGTTCCTGCTGGGTGGCACCTCCAGGTGGGCAGGGTTGGTCACACACAGGGGTGTGTGACACGGGTGTGTGACACGGGTGTGTGCGTGACACAGGGGTGTGCGTGACACAGGGGTGTGTGTGACACAGGCGTGTGTGTGACAAGGGGAAGTGTGACACGGGGGTGTCTGTGTGTGTGTATAGGTGTGTGTGACACGGGAGCGTGTTTGTGTGTACAGGTGTGTGTGTGTATAGGTGTGTGCATACAGGTGTGTGTGTGTACAGGTGTGTGTGTGTACAGGTGTGTGTGTACAGGTGTGTGTGTGTGTACAGGTGTGCACATACAGGTGTGTGCCCAGCCCAGCTGTGCCCGTACAGAGGTGTCAGTCCAGATGAGTGCCCAGATGTGTGCCCAGCACAGATGTGTCTGTACAGAGGTGTGTGCCCAGCAGAGGCCTGCCTGCAGCTTCCCGCGCGCACAGGTGCCGTACGTGGGCGTGGCCTCTCCCCGCCCATGGGCGTGGCTCGCACAGGGGGCGCGCAGCGTCACAGAAGCCCCGCCCACCGCGGGGCGTGTCCTGGGGGCGTGTCCGTGTCCGTGTCCGGGGCGTGTCTGTGTCGGTGTCCGGGGCGTGCCGGTGCCGCTGTCACTGTCCGTGTCCGGGCCGTGCCGTTGCCGGTGCCGGTGCGGCGGCCATGGCGCGGGTGCTGGTGGTGGGCGCGGGGCTGACGGGCGCGGCGGGCGCGGCGCTGCTGCGCGGGGCCCCTCGGGGACAGGTGGCCGTGTGGGACAAGGCGCGGGGCGCAGGTGGGTCCGGCGGGCCGGGGCCGTGGGAGGGAAGCCCGGGCCTGGCGTGTGTCATGTGTGGCGTGTGTGCGTGTCGTGGTGTCGTGTGTGTCGTGGCGTGTCGCGGCGGTCTGTGACCCGCTGTCGCGCAGGGGGCCGCATGAGCACGACCCGCGCCGACCGCGGCAGCGCCGACCTGGGCGCGCAGTTCGTCACCTGCGAGCCGGAGCTGGCGGGGCCGCGGCTCAGGTGAGACCCGCCCCATCCCTCCTTCATCCCATCCTCATCCCGCCCCATCCATCCCTCATCCCGCCTCCATCCCGCCCCATCCCGCCCCCAGCCCGCCCGTCCCGCGGTGTCGGAGGGGTTGGTGGCCCGTGGGGACACGCAGGGACCGCGCTGCTGGTGCACAGGTGCTTTAAGCCCCACCACCCCCAGGCCCCCGCAGCCGCTCGCTCGCTGCCCTGCCTGCGGGATTTAGGGCAGGAGTGGAGGGGTGACCGCCGGGAAACTTGGCGTGGGTCGGGATGAAAGGTGCAGGGGTACTTCGGGGAAGGGGTCGGAGGTGTGGCAGCGCTGTGAAAATGCAGAAATTTGCCGGGAAAGCAGCGAAAAGGCAGGTGAGTTTCAGGCACCTGGAATATTCCTGCGCTCCGCAGGGGCTGTGGAGTTCGGGCTGCTGTTCAGAGATTTAGGGAACCGCTGTGTATTCCTCTGCCTCCGGGTCAAGCCGCTGATAGTTCCATCACAGGTAGCTTTGCTGTCAGGTAAAAGGCCAGACCCAATGCAATTAGCAAGGTAGTTTGTTCTTTGATTGCTGCATTTATGCTTATCCTGCCTTGAAATGCAGCCTGGTAATATTCAGGCTGGTCTTAACTCGCTCCGTTTCCCACAATCAAAGTTTTCATGTGTGTTTCCGTGCATTCATCTGTATTTCCTTGTGGATTTCTCCCTTTCTAGCTTCTACGAGGAGCTTGTCACCCACGGCATCCTGAAGCCACTGACGGCTCCCGTGGAAGGACTGGTGGTGAGAGAAGGCTCCCGCAATTTCGTGGCACCCCAGGGCATCTCCTCGGTTGTCAAGTATTATTTGGAGCAGTCAGGTAATGCCTTTGGGTGCCTTTGTGTGAAGGGAAAGCTTTTAATGGCTGTGTTTTTGGCGGTGCCTGTCGAATTTACATCCCTGATGAGGATGTTTATGTTCCCGGTTGGTTTGTGTGTGTCTGGAAGTCGCTCGGGTGGATAAACGTGTCTGTGAGCTCGGTGAATTTCCGAGTCCTGCAGGTATAAAAGTCTTTTATACAAATAGAACATCTGCTGTGTAACTGGGGGCAGAGGGGTGAGCTACACCCTGTGTTTTGGGAAAAGGATGTGAGCCTGCTGGGTGGAGCAGGAAAATGAGTTTAAACTTTCTAACTAACTACCTTAGATGTCATGTGCCACAACCACGTGTGCAATTCAGTGACTTATTTAACCCTGTCCAGAAAAGTTAGAGCATGAGAGCAGCCAAACTTTGGTCCCTCTGTGCAATTGTTTTAATTTTTCTTTTTAATCAGCTGATTTTTAAAAACCCTGCTCTTGTAAATAATTAGCTACAATTGCAGTGGGAAGCCATTCCCCCTTGTCCCCCTTGTAATAACTCTCTCTCTGTGCATTTTCCCCGTGGAATTCCCTGTTATAAGATATTTAGCTGCTACTTTTTCCCCATCCAGGTGCAGCCGTGTCCTATGAGCAGCATGTAACTCACATTTCCCTGCGGGATGGCAGGTGGGAAGTCTCCAGGAAAGCTGGGCCCCCGGAGCAGTTTGATGTGGTAATTCTCACCATGCCTGTCCCGCAGATTCTCCAGCTGCAGGGTGACATTGTGAACAGTAAGTTCAGCCCTCAGGATGGCAGGTGTCGAATTTAAAATAGCATTTGAGCACCTTGTGAAGGAAAAAATAACACTCAGCGGTCTGAGTTGCTTAATTATTCCATCAGGACAGGCTGGAGATTGATAAGAGGTGGGTAATTTCGAGGTCATACATGTAACACTTTGACAGCATAAAATATCTAAATGGATGAATCAGTTTTGAATCTGATCTTTAATTTTTTTGCTAACTTCTAAAGCAGGGCTTGTCTTTGTGCAGCTTGCAAATAATTACTGAATTGGACAAGTTTTCTTGAGCATTTCTGTAAAGACAAGTATCTTCATTGCAACCTCTGATTTTAGGCTTTGTGCCTAAGTAGATAAATATTCTGTAAGAACAGGATTTCTCTGTTTCATGAGGTCTCTCATTTACCCTGGAAAATAATGGTGAGTCTGGCCCAGGTGAGGTGGTCTGGTTAATAGTGAAAGAAATAAAAATAAAATAAGAAATAGCATAGAAAATTAGAAATAGAAAATAGCAGAGAGGAAAAGTAGAGGGAGTGTTTTTTTCAGAGCCTTCCCAAGGTTCTGCTAGTCTGCACCTCAAGGCCTTGCCCAGCTCGTACTGATGTCTTTGCAAATTGTTTTTCTTGGGGTAATTAAATAATTTCTTGTCCAGAAAGCAGGCAGCTCCCCTTCAGAAGTGTAATTAAGGTGGACAGCTCATTTCACTTGCTCTTGGGAGAGCTGGAGCTGCCAGATGCTTCCCACAACATCCTCTCTTCATATTCTCTCTAACTGCAGGGTTGACTTTTATCTGAGGGAATCCAGCAAGTTTTGTCTTCTCCTCCCCTTCTTCCTGTTTCTCTTCCCCTGTCTGCCTGTTCCCTGGGTGAGACCAGCTTCCAGATGTCCATCCAGCTGTTAATTCTGCATCTCAGGCTGCAGGACTGACTGACATCTCTGACTCCCCCTGCCCCAGAGCTCCTTGGCTTTGGAGCCACGGGCATCTTTACACCTGGTTCTTTATGCTAAGAACTGAGTGGGGGGAAGAGCAGATGAGGAGGGTGTTTCAGAGCCTGAGCAGGGTGCAGTTTCAGCTCTGTTTTGGCTTGCAGAGGCTCGGGTGCATCGCTGTGTGTAAATCTCAGGGATGTTTTGGTTGTGTGTCAGAGAGCCGAGTTTTGCTGGCAGAGGAGGGAGCTTTCCCTGGATTCACCTCACCTGGCATTTAAGATGCAATTTCCTGGCAGCTGCTGGAAGGAATAGGTGTTCTCTCCTCTCCACACTGACACTTTGTAGTCGTTTTTATGCTCTGCTCTCCCAAATCCAGGGGCAAAGATGGGATTCTAGCAGGAGCCATGTTTGTGCACTCCCTCCCGGTAGCGATTCCAGCTGCTCCTGGAAGGGGAGGCTCCTGCTGCCTTTGGAACCTTCCCTGTGGCTGTCACTGGGGGTGACAGGGCTCTGTGGCTGCCCTGGGATGGAGCAGGAGATGTGCAGAGCTGGAGGAAGGGGAGGGCTTCCCCCTGTGGGGCCAGCTAAGGGTCACGTGTGGCCACTCGCGGCTCAAAGGTGTCGGGAAAATGAATCCACAAACACCAGAGGTTTCTGTCCAAAAAGGACACAGAGGAGTCCTTTGACTTTATTCCAATAAAGGGAGAGGCCATGGGGCATTGCCCTGGGATCTCTCAGATTTTTGGAGGACTCAGCCTCCTTTTTATCCCAATTTCTCAGCCATGTTTCCCTCTGAAAGGGTTCACAGTCCGGATTGTGAGCCTGGATCTGGACACTGAGAGTGTAAAGGTGGAGGAAATGCAGCTGAATGAGAGACTGATTACCTAGTGCAAAACTGAAACTCAAAAAAACCAAGAAGTTAATGTTACAACTGAACTCTCTGCTGGAGTATGTCTGTAATAATAACTGAAGAAAACCACCAAACTGGCAATCTGAATTTAAAAAAAGCCAAACCAAACACATGAGTACTTAAAAAACAAAAAGGCAGGATCCTGAAGAGACACGTGTCTTGTAAATGATCATATAAAGAGAGAGTAAAACACATGACAGCTGCCTGTAAATACTACAACAATACCTTAAAAATAATAATTCTTATCACAAAAATCTGAGAATTCACATTATATAATCAACGTATCAACAGGAAGTGTTTGAAGGGATTAAGACAAGCTTTTTAAAGTATTCATATAACATTAACAACAATCATTATTTATCAGTATTACTTATAAAAACCAAAAATAACAAAGGTTACAAACTCAATACCTACAATCCCTAAAACTCTGAACCCCATTGGCTGAGGTACTTGAGAGTCACAGACTTCCCAGAATGCCTGATACCAAAGATTTCCCTCTAATGTATAACCCTCCTTTTTAATTCTTAATTCTTACGGAATTTAGGGGCTTTTCCCCCATTTCTGAGGTACTTGAGAGGTTCAGACTTCCCAGAATGCCTGATACCAAAGATTTCCCTCTAATGTATAACCCTCCCTTTTCATTTTTAATTCTTATGGAATTTAGGGTTTTTTCTTCCCCCTTGTTTCTTTCATCTTTCAATGTCTAATTTCATTTATCACCACACCTAAAGTTTATTTGTAAAAGCAAATATCTTTTTCCATTCATCAATCAGTGGAATCCTTCCCATTGTTTCTCTTATCTCCCAGTGCTGGTTTTATCTACCAGCAGACCCACAGCTTGTTTGGAAAGGCAAATCTGCCATTCCTCTCAAAGGGAAGGGGGCAGGATTTGGGAATATTCCCTGCTGCTCTGGAAGGCCCTTATTGTATAGAAGGAGGACTCTGGAGCTAAATAAAAAGATGTGCCTGGGCAGTGTTAATCCCAGTGGCTGCTGTGGTTTGGGGTGAGGAGTGTTAAAGGAATGAGTTTTGGATGTTCCTGCTGCCCTGGTGTCACATCCCTGCTTTGGCAGCTCCTTCAGCAGGGGCATTTATGGGTTTCAAGCTCTGCCATTTATGGGTTTCAAGCTCTGCCATTTATGGGTTTATGGGTTTAAAGCTCTCCCACATCCCCCCTGGTCTCCCTTTCCTTGCCCCATCTGAGGCTGCTCCCTTTTTGGGCCAGTTTTGCCAGGGCTTGAAGTGCTTGGCTGGGGGCCTGTGCCAGGACTTTCTTGAGCCACTTGGGTTAATTTGGCTCCCAGCTGGAATCCAGATGAATTTTTAAATGGGTTGTGGTGAGGCATTGCTGGCATTAATGTGTGGATAAAGGCTGCAGGAGAGGAGAAGGGGCAAAGGAGCAGCTGGGTGGGGCAGGGGATGCTTTGATCCATTAGTGAGGGTTGGAATTAGCTTTTGACATTTGAGCCTGAATTGGAGAGTTCAAATGACTTGCCAGAGCTGGGAGTTTACCCCTCTGGAATTCACCATTTTCCTGTTTGAGGGAGGAGGTCTTTTGCCCCACACGTGTTTTTTTGAAAACAATTTTCACTTATTTACACCATATTCAGAAAATTAATATTTTGAAACAACCCCTCAAATTTCACATTGCTGTTTGAATACTTAAATTCAGTAGAATAAGCTAGACAGGATAGTTTTTGTGTCCTTTAACCTCTTAGATGAGCCTGAACATGATGTCATTGTGGAGCCTTAGGAGACAGAATTAAGTGGCCTTTGGCTACCTAAAATTACCATTTTATATGGGCTGTGTGAGAAATGAATGTTCCAGATTTACTTCTCTTGTGAGGGAAAAGATTAATGGAGAAGTTAGCGTGTAATTAAAAAAAAATAGATATAAAATAAATAATGTAATAAATAGTGTGTATATATATATAAAATTCACCTTAATTTTCAACCTTTATTCATTCTTTCTACAATCATCACACCCAAATAGATGCTAATTATGTAGTTGCATATTTAGTTGCATAATTATTTGCATATTTAGCAGCAGCAGAGCCAGAATTACTTCCAGCATGACTTCCAGTAGCTGCTGGATAAAGGGTTAACTCCTTGCAACATGTTTGGAACAACAATAGGTGGCAGCAATCAAATGATGTTTGGGACATTCAGCTTGAATAGCAAAATTAAATTCACTGCTCTGATTTGGGCTTTACGTGTTCTGGTAGTAAATATTGGGGTTGTGCAGCAGATAAAAGGGAAATGAATAAATGTTTCTGAGGTTTGTAATGTCAGTTCAAGGAAAGGAATAAATTTATTTAAAAGCAGGATCTTGGCAAATGAAAGGACAAGATTTTGCAAATTGTTCATTGTCCAGCAGTATTTCAAAGGTGCTGGACTGTTACACAGGCTGCTGATGTTAGAAAAATCCTGGATTTATAGCCCAGATCCCATATGATCACTGAGCAATGTGGTTCTTTCTGTGCATTTTCATTTCAGCTGGAGAAGCCTTCTTATCAGTTCTGTTTTTCAGTTTAAGGCATTTGGCAACATGGCAATTTAGGGTAGCAGTGATTTGCAGCAGGTTTTGTTTTGTATTTTTTATTTGTGTGTTCAGAATGTTTTCATTATGTTGCTTTCCTTGGAATTTCAATTTACAGTTCTGCATGTTTAAGCTGCTAATAAAACAGGATGGCTTGGCTTTTGTTTCGAGCCTGACCTATTTTTTTTTTCCCTTTTCCATCTGTGTGAATGTCCCACATGTTTTAAATAATACAAGCTGATGAGAAGATACAAGTGAAACAGGGCTGCATTTGCGTGGGAAGGCTTTATAATGTGAGTTAGGAAAGCACAAAACCCTGATAATTTTTCACGAGTCACAAGTCCTTGCTGAGTGAATGTGTTTATTTTTGGATAGCACCACGATAAATTCGGAATTCTGTGGTTCCAGTTCCAAGCAATCTGAGCAGGGCTTATCCAGCTTGCAGCTCTCATTACCTAACAGATCTGAAATGTCCACTGTAAACATGTACACTGATTTGTAAGTTGCTTATCAGGGAGCTGAGGCCTCAATGTGGAAATATTTGGGCTTTTTTGGAAACATATTTGGAGGAGTTCTTGGTTGTGCTCCTTTTAAAACCTGGCTGGGGAGCCCCCAG